GCCATGCAAAGGCATGGCATGCCATCAAGTGCAGGGACATGCACCAAAGATTCCCCTACTGGTCCCCATTGAAATCGCAAGATTCCGTTTCCCTTTCGGGAATGGAAACGGAATCTTGCGACCCCGAAAAGAAAGGCTTACAAACACTCTGGAAAGGAGATAGGATCAAATACAATGCAATTGAAAAAAACCCTGAAAATCGGCAGATTTAGTCTCTTCAAAAAATGGTCTGGGAGGAAGTGAGTTGCAGTGCAAAGGACCAAAACATGGCCAAACGAAGCTGACAGAAGTTGCAAAAGCCGCTCGGGTTGGAAGGGACCACAATGGGGTCACCTGGTGCCACCTCCCTTCTCCAGGATTGTGCCCAGCTGGTTCTGGAATGTCTCCAGCACTGGCAGCTCCTCTCTGGGCGATCTGTTCCAGTGCCTGCTCACTGCACAGGAACAAGCTCTTCCTCAGAAGAGAAATGGGATTCACTCCAATGCTATCCCACCTGTGCTGGGATTCATTCCCTGCCCTTCAGGAAAACTTCCCAAGCTCACCAGGGCAAGATTTGCCCTGGCCTGGGTGTGCTTTTAAAGGAAATATCCCTGCTCTTGGGGAGCACAGAGAGCAAGGAGACATTTGAGCACTCAGCGCTTTGGGGAGTTCGGATCTCCAATCAGTCACTGATGGAGATCAGTGCAGTCAGCCCTCAGCTCACAGGGAATGGGAGAAGCTGGGGACAGAGCACCACCTACTTTTGGAACGTTTCAGTGGAGTCCTGGTGCTTTCCGTGAGTGCACAGGAAGGAGGGTAAACAGGAAGCAAAAGGAAATAACTTCAGAAAAGCAAAAAAAGGCTTTGCTGTCTGAGGGATCCCACTGCTGTGTCCCTGCTGAGCCTCTGGGAGAGCACAGCCTTTAAAATGGGGATTTGTTTGGAAAACAGGCCCTTATTTTTAACATGAGGTGGAAATTTGTCCCCACAGATGAAGTGTGATGGTCTGAGGAAAGCAGGTTCTTCCCCTCAGGATGGATATAAATCTGAAATTATTTACAGAAGGGCTGTAACACCCTCAGGGAAAGGAATGCACCTCTGGGCACTGTCTGCTCCTCATAGCTCAGCCTTACCCTGCTGACTGATTTTCAAGGTAAAATACACCAAAAACCACACTCAAAATACCCAAATATGTTCTAAATTACCTGAAAAACGTGAGCTCTTAGGAAAGGTTCAGTTTCACACCCCTGCTCGAGAATTAAAACCCTTCTCAGGTCCTTGGCAACCCCCAGTGAGTTACTGGGTAGCCTGCAGGAGTTAAATATTTTAAAAGTGAGTTAAATATTTTAAAAGTGAGTTAAATGTTTCAAAAGCAAGCTGAATGTTTTAAAAGTGGGTTAAATGTTTTAAAAGTAAGCTGAATACCTTAAAACTGAGGTGAATGTTTTAAAGTGAGGTGAGTGTTTTAAATGTTTCAAAACTAAGGTGAATGTTTTAAAAGTGAGCTGAGTGTTTTAAAAGCCAGATGAGTGTTTTAAAGCCAGCACCGGCTGATGCTGTGGCAGTGGATGGGGTGTCCCTGTACCTGCTGAGGATTTACAGCCCAGAGGGTAAAAAGCAGTCATGGTTATAAAGTGATTAAGGGTTACAGCCTGGAGAAGGGCAGCAGATACCTGTGGGACCTTGTGGTGGCTCAGCTGGGCCTGGCTGCTCCTTATCTTTCCTTATCTTTCCTTATCTTTCCTTATCTTTCCTTACCCAGAAGGAACCCATGGGCAGAATTCCTGGGCAGTGCCTGTACCAAGGTTTGCATTTATGAATGTTTTCCGTGGATTTGCAGGCTGTGGTTCCATGTTCCGCCCTCCACCAGAGGTCCAGGTGCTGTCACAGCAATGTGAAACACCAGATTAACCAAACCTTGAGGAAATTGATGCTCACCAATCAGAGAATTTTTATCTCTTTGAACATAAATCAAATTCCAATCAGGTCAAACCTGTTTTGATGGGGTGCAGCCCATCTTTCCCTGCTTCCCTCTTGACAGAGATGGGAAAAGCCTTTGTTCACTGATCCTTCAAAGACCTTTGTGGCTTTCCAAGGAAGGAAAAGGGAATATAATAACAGCTCTGGCTTTAGTATCTGTGTAAGATAAATTCTCCTGTTGTGAAAACAAATGACATCCTCGATCCAACAATGGCATTCCAGGGGCAGATTTGTCATGGAGATATGTGACACAATGGGCCAAGTGTCCTGTGCAGGGGTGAGTCAGGGAGAGAAGCCTTTCCCAGAGCCCTTGGCCCTGCTCCTGCCTCCCTTGGGCAGGGAGGGGTGGGGATGGTTCCCATGGGTGGCTCAGCCCCGTTTCCTGTGATTTGGGTGCAGCAGCAGCAGCTTGGGATTGGCAGGGAGCTGAACTGAAACCTCCAAAGGTGTGTGAGCTACAGGCAGTGGTGTCAGAGACACCCCTGGATCTTCCCATCCTTGAGTTAAGGAGTGGAGCTGGGGAGAGGTGTTGGGGGAAATGGGAATTTGTTTGGAAAGACAGGCCTTTATTTTTAAGAGAGCAACTTAAGCCACTGTGAGGTGGAAATTTGTCACCACAGATGAAATTTGATTGAGCAAAAAATATCCTGACTGCAGCAGGTCTCAGTGTGAGCCCCAGTGTGCTGAAATGATGCCTTGAGGATCCTGAAGAATCAATAAAATCCCACAGGTGTCATCAGGAAAAAGCCCTGACCTGGTCTCCAGCCCCCTGGGAAAGTGGGGAAGAAATCCTCAGAGCCCCTGGCAGGGCCTGAAGGGGCTCCAGGAGAGCTGCAGAGGGACTGGGGACAAGGGAGGGAGGGACAGGAGCCAGGGAATGGCTCCCAGTGCCAGAGGGCAGGGATGGATGGGAGATTGGGAATTGGGAATCCTTTATTCAGAGGGTGGTTAGGTATTGCAATCAGGTTTTCAATATATAAATCTACTCCCTGTAACCTCCCTCGGGGAAAGAAATGCACCTCTGGGCACTATCTACTCCATATAGCCCAGCCTTACACTGCTGGTTGATTTTCAAGGTAAAATATCTCATAAAAAGCACTCAAAAAAAGCACTGCTGGATGCCCCAGGATCCCTGGCAGTGCCCAAGGCCAGGCTGGACACTGGAGCCTGGGACAGAGGGAGGCGTCCCTGCCCATGGAAATGGGATGGGATTTAAGCTCTCTTTCCATACAAATCATTCAGAGATCCTGTGATTCCAGAATACTTAGGGTTTGTAATATATCTAAGAACACCCAAATGTCCTACAGGTGCTGTTGTCCAAGCTGGCTCCTCCTTCCCCAGGGTGCTCTCAGGAGCAGAGAAGGAAATGAAGAAGGAGGGTGGATAATGCCTGACCAAACCTTCACATGCCAAAATCCTGGATCACCACCATGGCAACACCAGCCTGACAAATCCTGAAGCCTTAACAAGAGCAATAGTTTGAAGCCCATGGTGGGATTTTGGGGCGCCCTGTGCAGGGCCAGGAGCTGGAAATCACATGCAGGGGTGCCTGGATGTGTCCAGTGTTATTTCTGTGGGCATGGTTTGCCTTTCTCCCCTGTTTGTGCATGCCAGGCTCCCTCTCCTCATGCCTTGACCCCTAAATCATTATCCTAATGCCTTCAGCCAAAACTCCAGCTGTCGCCAACAGCTCTTCCTTAAGGAGATAAAAAGAGCCCAGAACAAGGTCTGGGATCTCTCCCTGCAGCCCTGACACCCTTAATGCTTCAGGCTTGTGCAGCATTGGGGAAAATCTGATTTTCCTTCTTGGAGATGGGATTGCCCTGTGGACTTTAGCCCTGGACTTTGCTCCAGTAGCTCGGGAGGGGCTGGGGGAAGTGCTCAGACACCTCAGAGTGGCTCTGGCAGGGCAGGAGGTGTGGCCCTGCCTGGGCAGGACACCCTTGCCTTGACCTCTGCGCTGGAGAAACACAACTCCATGAGGAATCCATGGGAATCCATGAGAAACACAAATCCATGCCAGTAATTCCCTTGGGATACCTGGGGCAGGACACTTTGACAGAGACAAACACAGAGTTGAGACAAAACCCCTCAGTGAATGAGTTCCTAAGCAGCAGGGAGTGGATAACAGGGAATGAGGTCCCTGTCGTGGCAGGGAATGGATAAATGCAGGGAGCTCCTGAATTTTATTCCCTGCCTTAAGTTTTTGTTATTTTTTTAGTCTTTGCTGAGAATCATTCAGCTCATTACACCTGCAGGGAGCAGGCTGCCCCTCAGAGATTCTGCAAATCCTTCTGAGCTCTCTCTGGACACATCCCAAAGCAGGACCACCAACCTCAATTTTCAGCCTACACCAGCACAACCCGCCCTGTCTAAACCCAAGCATTGTGCTGTCTGCTCACTTTGAAGAGCTAAATTCTGCTCGCTGTGCTTGCTGCAGCCCTGAGGAGCCGCTCCAGGGCTGCCGGGGAGCAGCCGGGCACGGTGGCTTGTGCCTGTAATCCAAGCTCCGGGGAGGCTGAGGCTGGCGGACCGCTGAGCCCGGGGGTTCTGGGCTGCCGAGCGCTGTGCCGAGCGGGCGTCCAGGCTAAGGCCGGCATCGATATGGTGGCCCTGGGGGAGCCGGGGGCCACCAGGTCGCCTAAGGAGGGGTGAACCGGCCCAGGTCGGAGACGGAGCAGGTCAAAGCTCCCGTGGCGGTCAGTAGCGGGACCGCGCCTGTGAACAGAGCCTGCAGCGCAGCCCGGGTGACAGGACGGGACCCAGCCTCTTTTGGCGCCTTATCCCCTGGCCCCAGCCCATTTTGGCACCTCGTCCCCTGGCCCCAACCCATTTTGGCTTCTCCCCTCGGCCCCAGCCCCTTTGTCAGCTCTCCGTGCCGCGGAGCAGCCACAACAGCGGGGAAAGCAAAAGCGCTCCCAGTGATGCTCCTCCTCTTCCTCCTCCTCCTCCTCCTCCTGGAGATGCCGCGCCAGCCTCGCCCACCCAGGCGTGCTCGGGTTTTGGTGGGATGTGTTGGGATCCCAGCAGATGTGGGGAATGCCGGGTTCCTGTGCCGGCCAGCAGGAATTCCCGTCGTGTTTCTGGCTGCGAGTCAGTCCCACCCGGCCCTCACAGGCTGGGGAAGCCCGCAGGAGCCTCTCATCACTCTGCTCCAGCGGTATGCTCTGTCACAGCCCATCGGTGTCCTCCTCTGAGCTCTACACTCTCAGGAAAACACTGGCAAATCGGGGAGCTTTGCTCCAGGAGGAGTTTTCCAAGCAGGACATCCCCGGTGTGCTCTGTCCGGAGCTGTCCCGGAGACAGCTCCAGGTTGTCCCTCACTCGGCTCAGAACGAGAACAGCACCAGGGTGTGCCTGCTGTGGCTCCGAATGGGGGTTTGGGCTTCCTCAGCAGCTCAAACCTCCTCAAAAACCATTGCAGGCGGTTTGGAACACAAAGCAGAGGGAGCTCAAGGACGTTCCCTCGGTTCCCCACTGCCGCTGTGTGGCCAGGCAGAGCTCGCACAGCACGGGTGGCAGCAACCTGCAAACGGATGGATCTGGTGGTTTGTGGGATACAAGTGCCTGAGGTTGGGATTTTGGGCTGCAGTTGTTGTGCTGGTGGAAGTTCAGTGTGGATTTGGTGCCCCTGATCCTAAATCCTACTGTGAATATCTGGGAACAGCGTCCAAACTGTGTAAGAAGTGAAGTTCGTGCTGAGGATGGGGAGGGGGAGCTCTGTCCTTGGCCTGGCTGCTTCCTCAGCAGGGAAAACTGAGGTGTGTGCTGGGGATGGAGGGAAAGGGGAAACAAGAAGGGAGGGAGAGGGGGAAAGGGGAAACAGGAAGGGAAGGAGAGGGGGAAAGGGAAAAGAGAATGGAGAAGGGGAAAGGATGGGAAGAAGAAGGGAAAAGGGTAAGGAAAAATAGGGAAGAAGGTGAAAGTGGGAAAGGGGAAATGGGAAGGAGGAAGGAGAGGAGGAAGAATGGGAAGGGATATGGAAAAGAAAAAGGGATAAGAAAGGAAATGGGGAAAGAAAAGGAGGAAGAGAAAAGGAGAAAGGGGGAGAGGGGAAGGAGGAATGGGAAGGGGGAAAGAAAAGGGAAAAGGGGAAGGGAGGAGAAGGGGGAAAAGGATAAAGGGAAGGAAGGAGAAGAAGAAGGGGGAAGAAGAGAAGGAGGATAAGGAAATTAAGGAGAATGAAAAGGAAAAAGAGGAGGACGAGAAGGCGGAGAAGAAGGTGGAAGAGGAGGAGAAGGAGACGAGGACGAGGAGGAGCAGGACAAACAGGAGGGAGGAGCGGGAATAGCAGAGGCAGCAGGAGGAGGATCGGGAGG